CTATAATTAAACTGAGCTGCACAAGATCCAGCAGAGACAGATGGCACTGGGAGGAGCCATGCCCACAGGGTAAGGCCCATATAACCCAGTTGTGCTCAGAGTTACAGCTTTGGATCTGTATCTACTTCAATCAGGCTGGGTGGGTGCAGGGCTGGAGTATGCCTGATAGGTGCCCGGAGCTGTTACAGTTCTGGGGGGGGGGGCTTCTTTGCATATTTAATTCCTTCCCTTTACTGATTTACCAACACCCGGGCCCAATGCTCAACCTCCATTGTGAAATTACCTTTATTTCAGTTCTGGTTTTTTAATGTGAGAGACCAATAGCAAAGCCAAATGCAAGTTAAACCAAACAAAAGCATTTTCATTTCAGCACATACTAGTAATGTTACACATTGCTTTACTGACCACCTTACCTACAGATATATATTTTTGGGGACTTTCCAAAATCCAAGGCCCCAGGCTGCAGCCTCTAAATCCCCTGTGTTAATCAGTTACCAGTGTGTGAACGGAAAAGAGGGTAGGACATAATTTTCAATATACACGATTCTTGCCCTTATGTGTTTCTAAGGGAAGAGGATTCACCTGGATTGACAGGCTAGCAAGGAAGCCAATATAAACACATCCTCCACCTATATTACAGCCTACCCCATCACGGCTTGGAACACCTTGTGACTACAGAACGTGGCCATACGTGATGATGGGTTGCCTCTTTTTTTATTACCATTCTCTGTAAGATGGTGGGATGTACAAACACAGCCCCTGCCCAGCAAAACTAATGATCTAAAAAGCCAAGGTAAAGGATGGGAGGGGGAACTGAGTCGCAGCGAGGCGAAGTGACACAAGGCAAAGTCATGCAGTGGGTCAGTGGTGATCTAGCTTCCCTCTATTTCGTTTTATTTCTTTGTGTCGTTTGCTGACCTGTATTTAATCACTGTTGGGTTTTTTTTTACTTCCCCTATGAGCTAGGAGGTTGTTTTTCCCCCTCCAGCTTTGAGGAGTACGTTTAGTTTCTGCTTTTTTTTTTTTTTTTGTGGGAGAATTGATCTTTTACACAGACTGATTATGTAGCCTGCAGCAATCTCATCTTTCGAGCACAGACGGGAGCTCCTTCTTGAGTTAATCTGGATCAGCATCCTTGATCTGGGGGCTTTGATAAGGGAGGTTGATAAACCTCAGAGGATGCTTGAGTGCAGAGGAGAGTGGGGTTTTTTTGGGGAGACACGGTGGGCTGGAGCTGTTTAGAGACCAATGCCAAACCCTGTCTGAGGTCTGGAGCTGGGTGAGTGTCTCTCAGTTTAGGTACTAAGCTCATCGGAATGCCTGTTTATGGTCTCAGAAATCCGCCAAACCCTTAGATGACGTGGCTGTGACAAGAGAGACCAGGTGGGGAGGTAATATCTTTTATTGGACCAACTTCTATGTTGAGGGGAGAGACAAGCTTTTGAATTTACACAGAGCTCTTCTGCAGGGCTCAGTTGACTACTGCACCCTGGCTAGATCAAGACAGGACTGTTACAATGCAGCCTTCTGTCGGCACTAAGGGCTTGATACTCTGTTACATCAAGGCCCCTTTATGCAGCATGGAGAGCCCTTACAGGGGGGCGGATATGGCTCCCTGTGAATACCCCCGTTAGAAGGCTCTCACCTAGAGCAGAACTGGCTTAAGGGCTGTACACTGCTCTCCACCCCATGTGTAGGAGAGGGAGCAGAGGCATGTCTGGGGGAGGTTAGAATTCCCTGCACCACAGCTGTTCTCTGCATCCCGGGGCCCAGCAGACCAGTCAGTGCAGCATTGTGCATCTCCTCATTGCTACCATGGGAGCTAAGCTTCCTCTGCAGCTGCCTGCACAGCCCTGACATTGCTCCTGACTCTGAATAGCCTGGCAGGTAAGAGACAGAAGAGGGAAGCCCGGAGGGCAATGGACTGTGGGAGAACAGAGGAAGGGAGACTGGGCACGGGGTGGGATGGCCTCAATGTCCCAATTTGAGTCCTGTCAAGGGCAAGGGTCACACCTGCTGTGGAGCAGTGACCAGTGTCAGACTGGACCTTGGTAGGGTGAAATCCTGACCCGGCTGACGTTAATGGGAGTTCAATGAAGCCAGGAGTTCACCCCTAGAATATGCACTGCCATGATCTGAACATGCCCTGCATATAGGAAATTTTCAAGGGCTGCTGCTCACCAGCATGGCAGTAGGTGCTAGAGAAATATCAGAAAAAGCAGTGTAAAGGCAAAGTTCTCTGCCTTCTATCTTGTCCCTCCACACACACTGGAAGATCATCTAGTTTGGAAAATTCTAGAGCAGGGGAGGAGTGAGAATGTGAGTGAGCAAATCATGAAGCTGCTGAAAATAATACTCAGCTGGAAAATTACTGGTGGTAAAAGTAACTGTGTGTTTGTGTGCGCACACACTTGAGGGAGCTAGAAAGGATAGGAGCAAGGGCCCTGGTAATGGGATGTGGATCCTTTCACCTCAAAATTGCTGGTTCAAATGTTCAAGGATAATGACTGAAAGTTACCACCATTTGATGGCCATGTGGTAGCCTAGGTAAATTCATTTGGTGCTTCCCATCCAGTTCCCAAAAGACCAGAGTCCACATCATGACCACCCTTCACAAAAATATAGCACACCAACAGGTAAACCTCAGCAGAGCTGCCAAGAGTCCCATGGGCCCTGGAGACTGAACTATCCTCAGTCTCTTCCAGATGGCCACTTCTGGGGTGGGATTGGGGCACAGCAGTGGGACAACCCGGAGAGAGATTGCATTGCTACTGCCCTTATTAGACCCGTTCAGTTAGTCAGGAGAGGACTTCAGTGTCCATGGTTGTCAACCTCTCACTATTCAGCTAAACTATTTGTTAAGAAGGAAGGGTGGTGTGTGTGTGTGTGTGTGTAGGGAGGGAGGAGCAGGCTCCTGCAGAGGGAAAAGGACCATTGTACCTCAGAGGACTGGGGTAACCTGTCAATTTTTTTTTCTGACTGGGTCATTTCCACTTTGGCTTTAGCAAACTCCCAGCCATCTATTGAATAGTCAGTATTGTGTCTCTGGTATTCCAGGGACAGCTCAGCTTTTGCGGAGTCCCCGGTGACAAGGATCCAACCAGACAGAATAAAAATGTTCCTTTCTTTTCATTTCCCTTGGGCTTCACTTCTGCCTCTGCTGGAAGAGGTCAGACTCCCCGCCCCCAGGGAAACCAGCTTCCCAGCGTGAGCAACACAGGCCATGGAGGGTCGAATGCCGGGGACAGTAAAGCTGAAAGCTCTGCCTGTAATTAATTTCGTACCGTTGTTATTGTCTTTTCTTTTAAACAACTGCTGCAGCCTGCAGGTTGCTGGTGTAAATGGCTGGAGGTCTCTTCAACAGAGCTAGAGTGATTTACACCAGTGAAGGATCTGGCTTCTCTCGTGAGAGGGACAAGGGAGTTAGCTTCAACCCCTGCCCGAAGCTGTATGTTGCATATCAATTCCTGGGAACGTTGAGTGACATATGCACATGGTTGTTTAAGGGCTCGGCAAAGAGGGGAAAAAATCAGTAAACATCCTGTTTCCTGCTGCTGACTCCCTCTTCTCGCTCATTAACGACAATATTAAATATAACACCCTGCACCCTTCCCTCTGCTCAGAGCCCGCCAGCCAGTTTGCAAACTGAGCCCACCGTTCCTTTTTCACATAATGGGTTGGAGAGACATCGTAGCATGTTTTACCAAAATCAAAGAGCTTGATTCTCAGGCCCGGCCAACACAACAGAGCGAGGTTGGTGCAAGGCAGCTAATATTGACCTAACTACTGAAGGTCTACACTTACATTTTGCTCCTGCCGACATAACTGCCCCGCGATGTCAACTTAATAATGCCACCTCCAAGAGCAGCATGGAGCCAAGGTCGATATCATTAGGTCGACGCAGTGTCGACGTACACACTGCGTTGCTTATGTCAACTGTTACTGGCTTTCAAGAGCCTTCCCAGCTGGCAGTACAATCGATATGAGCACTCCTGGTCAGAGTCTTCACTGCTGACACAGGGATCAAAGTGTAGGTACGCGCAAGTGATGTAATTATCACGGCCGCTGTGTGCCGACCTACGTCAGGTCGACTTAATTTTGTCGGGTACACATGGCCTCGGTTTCACTAAGCCTCACTCTGACAGTGTAAAGTAATTTATGCTCATTGTACGGCTCCTTTATGAGGCCAGAGTGGTACAAAGAAGCCTTAGGGCAGAGGTCCCCAAACTGTGGGGCATGGCCCTCTAGCGGGGCACAGAGGAATGTTCAGTGGGGCACAGCGGGGGCCCAGGCCAGGCCCCACGGAGAGGCAGGGAGGGAGCACCACCCAGCTCCGCTCCTGGCCCTGGCCCCAGCCCCACTCCCAGGGCCCCGGCTGCTGACCCCTGACTGCCATCCAAGGCCCCTAACTTAGGCTCTGCTCCCGGCCTCAGCCTTGGCTCCCTTACCCCCGCCTGCATGCCCCTCTCCCGGAGCTACGGCCCCACTCCCAGCCCTGGCTCTGGGGCGGGGGGGAGAGGGGGTGTGTGATAACAGGGGTTGAGGGGGAGTGTGAGGTAAAAATTTGGGGACCACTGCCTTAGGGTAAATGAGACTCAGATACCACAGTCCTTACACCACCAAATTTGTCTGTCGAGTTTTGCTCTTCATCAGCCTGAGCTGGACCCACAAGATTCTCACAGGGTTTTTTCTTCTCTGAAGCTTTGGTTGTTATTTGATAGGGATGGAAGAGAGATTCAGAACTGATAACTGGCCAGATCACTCTTCTGGGTTTTTACACCCCGATTTCCCAACCAGCTCTACTGTCTACTAATCCCACCACCTTTGCAAATGGCAAGGAATTTCCCCTCCCCCCAGCTCTGGAGGTAAAGCACTCTTATCATCCCCCTTTGGACAAGTGGGGAGCTGACGCCCAGAGTAATTGACTTGCCCAGGAAGTGTGGGCAGAGCCAGGAAATGAATGTAGGTCTCATGGAGTGCCCCCACCCCACAATCTGGTGTCTGAACCACAGCCCATCCTTCCTTCCCTGTCAAAGAGGAATTGTCCTGCCTTGTCGTGGTGAAGGCTGATGAGCAATGTAAGTACAAAGAGGAGAAAAAATCAAAGTGAGAAAAGGAACCTAAAAAGGAAGGGAAATCAGAATGAAAATGCAAAGGGAGTAACAGAAACACAAGGTGGAAAATAGCCACATTGAGGGTGCTATAGAGAATAATAGAGAATTAGAGTGGGAGGGGGCAGGAAATAGTGGAACAAGAACCAGAAAACCCGAGGAGAAACACAGTGGGGATCTTTCTGCAGCTGTAAAGGAGGAATGAGTGCGGATTTACTGCACGTGTACGTAAGTGACTGTGCAGGTCCCCACTCAAGCTGCAAGGCTGGGCAATGGGAGGAGAGAAAGCTGCTCTGTTGGGTATGAATCCCTGCAGACCAGAATGAAAGGAATGGCCAGGAGATCAGGACTCCCCGACTCCTGTAGAAAACTCCTGCACCAAGTCTGGCCACTCAAGCTTGGTACAAGACAGAGGGCTAGGGGTGGGTTGGGCCTGTAGGTAATAAAGAGAGAGAGAGATGAATCAGGAGAGGGAGAGAGATGCAAACTCCATCAGCCAGAGCAATAATCGGAGGCAAGATGATTAGTAGCCCCATGAAAAACCTCATTACTTGAGACATTTAAAACGTGGCTAGGCAAAGTGCTAGAGATATGCCATAGGGAAGAATGCTAGAGTGCCTGGGGAGGGATGGGGACAGTTTACATAGCTTCAGAGGTCTTTTCCATCTCTGTCATCTATTATTCTGTGACTACAGGATTAATAATAACATCAGCAGAGGTTGCACATTTCATTCCTAGCCATTAGGATGCATAAATAATATAAGATCCAACCCAGCTACATCAAGGGGTTAAAGACCTATATATTAAAACCAACAAACACACACAAAACCAAGTACCAACAGAAAAAGAAACCAGAGGTAAAAAAAATAATGTAGTAAATAATGCGTACATATCAGCCAGATTCCCACTGCAGTGTGGTTAAATGCTTCTGTAATTCTGCCCTGAATTTATATTAGTAATAATGAAGAAGTCTTTGCACTAATTATTGCGCTTTTCATCTGTGGCTCTCCTTATGAAACACAAAGGGAATTCTCTAGCTCAGTGGACAAAATGAGAAAGGCCTCTGTGAAGATGGAAGAGGTTGCAATGGGCTTGTGAAATAAAACAAGGTGTATTTTTGGTGTTGAAAACTGGCAAACATACACTCAGCAAGATGCTCCTGACATGGTTGAGAATGATGGAGTGAGGAACAGAAGAGAAAAATCTATTACACACAGTACGGTGAAGATGTGGGAGAAGAAGAATGGGTTTGTGGGTAAGACACTGGACTTGAATTCAGGATATCCTAGCTTCTGTGAATCCTGGGAGATCTATGGTATTTGGAGATGGAGCTCCAGCCCATTCAGTGGTGGAAAACGATTCTTCCCAACTCAGGCTCTGATCCAGCAAAGTGCTTCAGTTCCTGCTTAACTTAAATCACGTTAGTAGCACCATTGACTTCACTGGGACTCTTGATATGCGTAAAGATAGGCATGCATCTTCCTGAATCAGGGCTAAAGGCCTTGATCCTGCTCACTTTGAAGTGAATGGCAACACTTATCTGGACTACAACGGCCATAGAAGCAGGTCTCAAATTCAGTGAGGCTACTGATGAGATCAGGGGTACTTCATCACCATAGTATCTGAGCACCTCATCACCTTCAATGTAATTATTCTCATAACACCTCTGTAAGGTCAGGAAGCACTATTACCTCCTGCCCAAGGCGAAACAAGAAAGAATTGTGGTGAATCAGGGATGTGAAGCCTGGACTCCTAACTCCAAGGCTAATGCCCTGGACTCTCTTGAAGAATTTAAAGTCAAGAACAGAACATCCACACTGGGTCAGACCAATAGTCCATCTAGCCCAGTATTGTGTCTCTGCCTGTGGTCAGTGCCAGATGCTTCTAGCAGTTGGAGATTTAGGGGTGGGTGCATAACTTAATAACTATCAGTAGTAGAACTGTAGATTAAATTGAAACAAATTAAATAATAAAGAGCTGTGCCATTAATTCACTGACCTCCAACCTCCTCATGTCACCTCATTATTCCTATCACTAATGTAACCCAATGAATTTCAGTGTATTGTTATTATTTATATACGGTAATGATCAGTTTGTTCTAAGTGCTTGCCAGGCCATCAAGAAGGATGGAGTCTGCTTCAGGAAGTCTAAGCAGAGACAAGCTTGACAGCTATATAAATATATTTTACCCAAACACAGAACTTTGTTAAGGTTGATGGTGAATATCGGATCTTTTCATGGTTAAAATGAAATACTATTAAAAGAACACGGATATTTTAAAGCCAACCATCAGATCCACAATAAATCCAGAGTGAAGGTTAATATGTAAAAAAAAATCAAAACTTTACAGCGGTCAGCGGTTTCCCAGTTAAGGCATGCACAGTTATGCCAGGAGCATAATTGACTTAGGAGTTGTTGTCTGGTCGCCAGGGAGGTATCAGTCAAAAGCACAGCTGGTGAGGTTGGAGGCAAGCTGTGATTTTACCTATTTATTGTAGAAAAGTCACTGTGAAAAACCGCCTTATCAATCGAGTTACCCTTTTAAGGCTATTTCCATAAGGAAATGGGGCTAGAAATGTACTTTAAAAGAACATTTAGGCTTCCAACAGTCATTTGATGGTTTTTTTTAACTCCCCTGGAATCTGTAATGGATCATTCTGATGTTCCTAATTCAACAGAGAATAACTTCCTAAATATTAAAAATTAGTTCTGGGCACTTGAGACTTCATCCAAAGGCTACTGAAGTCAATGGAAGTGTTCCATCTCATCATGATCTTCACGTGAAGTTTCTAGGACAAGCTGTTTTTGAGGTAAGCTGTGGGAAGGAGGAAAAAAAGAGTATTAGTGGAATCTTCAAAGTGAAATTAACACCCATTCTTTCCCTTCACCCTACATATGAAAAACCGCTTATCCAAACTAACTCAGGTTTTAGCAAAAATTTTCTCTGCTGCAGAAAGGCCCCACATGCAAAACTCCAAGTAGAAAACGACCTTCATGATTAGTATAAACTGTATGGGAGGGAGGAGAGAAGACAAAATTAATTGAGTAAGGGTGGAAGTTTTTTTGTTAAAGATTCAAAAATTTGAAAAACAGACTTCAATGAGAAACTGCAGAACTGGAATTAATTTGCAAACTGGGCACCATCAAATTAGGCCTGAATAAAGACTGGGAGGGGATGGGTCACTACAAAAAGTAATTTTCCCTCTCTTGATATTCACCCCTTTTTGTCAACTGTTGAGAATAGGCCACTTCCACCTTAATTGAATTGGCTCATTAGCACTGACCCACCCCGCTTGGTAAGGCAACTCCCATCTTTTCATGTGCAGTATATATATACTGCTTACTGTATTTTTCACTCCATGCATCTGATGAAGTGGGTTTTAGCCCAAGAAAGCTTATGCCCAAATAAATTTGTTAGTCTCTAAGGTGCCACAAGGACTCCTTGTTGTTTTTGCTGATACAGACTAACACGACTACCACTCTGAAACCTGTGCAGTTCTTGGCTTTGTTATGCATTGGTCATTGGAGAGAAACTATGGATGACAGAGCTTGTTTTCTGCTTTATTCTCTATATTTGGAGGCAATGCTTGGGACAGAATAGTTTCTTGGGAATTGGCATTGTTGGATGGAATGAAATTTCTGGAAGAGGAGATTTCCTGCATGCTATTGGTGACCACCTCTGTTCTGAGACATATGTGTAAATAAAGCATGTTACACCTCGAGTATAATTACACTACTTAGGGAAGCTGACCTGTAAGGGGCTACACATCTGCTACCACTTGGCAGTGGGCAACACTAATGTCAGCTAAAAGAAAAGGAGTACTTGTGGCACCTTAGAGACTAACCAATTTATTTGAGCATGAGCTTTCGTGAGCTACAGCTCACTTCATCGGATGCATACCGTGGAAACTGCAGCAGACTTTATATATAGACAGAGAATATGAAACAATACCTCCTCCCACCCCACTGTCCTGCTGGTAATAGCTTATCTAAAGTGATCATCAGGTTGGGCCATTTCCAGCACAAATCCAGGTTTTCTCACCCTCCACCCCCCCACACAAATTTGTGTGGGGGGGTGGAGGGTGAGAAAACCTGGATTTGTGCTGGAAATGGCCCAACCTGATGATCACTTTAGATAAGCTATTACCAGCAGGACAGTGGGGTGGGAGGAGGTATTGTTTCATATTCTCTGTCTATATATAAAGTCTGCTGCAGTTTCCACGGTATGCATCCGATGAAGTGAGCTGTAGCTCACGAAAGCTCATGCTCAAATAAATTGGTTAGTCTCTAAGGTGCCACAAGTACTCCTTTTCTTTTGCGAATACAGACTAACACGGCGGTTACTCTGAAACTAATGTCAGCTGTCAGACACTGGTGTCGGAAAAAGGGCAACAATATATATTTTGTGCTATATATTAGAGGTGAGCAAATAATTGATGTTTGCGTTTGGGGGCCAAACCAGAAAATCTGAAACACCCTTCCCTTGCTGATTTTTTCAAAACTTTGAATTGAAAAATTTCATTTTGAATCAACCAAAACGTTTTGTGCTGACCTGATACCATTTTTTTTATAGTTTTCCTTTTCGATTCAATCATTTTCTGGTGTTTTTCACCCTTGTTTTGTAGTCTTTTTTCTTCTTTTTTTTAATTGCAAAAATTTCAAAACAGAACACCATTTCCAAACGAAAAGTCAAAGTGAAATGTTTCAACTTCTTTTACATTTCCTTTTCAGGCTTTTTTCAGACAAAACTATTTGTTGAATTTGACCTGAATTTGAGAATCATTTCAGTACCCTCACAAAATGTATTTTTCAGCAAAGTTGCTATTCACCAAAAAAATGTCACCCAGTTCTACTATATATATAAGCAAGCCCTATAGCCTGAAGGTAAGGAGCTTTCTCCTTCCGTCTGTTGGTGATCAGGGGGAAGAGCAGCCTCTGAGCTGCATAAAACTACTTACTCAGAACTCCAGATGCACAGAAGCTCCCTAGGGAAGGAGCTGTCTGCCTCTATCTATTAGTAAGGAAGGTATCGTACATCTACAAAGAACTGGCATAAGCTTTTTACCCAGAATTCCACCAATTAGAGTCTAGTTTCGTGATGAAAGCTTATGCTCAAATAAATTGGTTAGTCTCTAAGGTGCCACAAGTACTCCTTTTCTTTTTGCGGTTAGATCAATCAGGGAGGATGAGGCCCTCTTCTAGCAGTTGAGGTGTGAGGTGTGTTGGTGGGTACTGGATCATTGAAAAAAGTGACCAGCTGCGCACCGGGCCTACCCAGGGCAGCAGCACCCCAGGGCTCCAGGAGCAGTTAAGATGTAGTCAGGGGTATGTATAGTAAAAGTCCTGGACAGGTGCTGTGAATTTTTATTTATTGACCATGACCTGTCCAGGACTTTTACCAAAAATACGCATGACTAAATCTTAGCCTTAATTAGAATAGGCTCCCAGATGCGTGTAGACTGCATACAGGATTCCTGGGTACATTCCGATTAGAATTGGTGGAGCACGATTGCCCCAGCAGAGGGAAAACGATGCTGTGTTAATGCTATGGTTTAGTTATGTTTTTATTTTTTCTTAACTATAATGCAGTTGTGTGGCAAACAATTCTGAGGCAGAGAAGAGACATACCATCGCTTGAAACCAACATCACACTCAGCTGACTATTACTGGAAACCTGCTGCCTTTTACATGCACAGCAATAACAACTTGACAAATGTGCAAACACAGTGTGGGCTTTGTCTGCTCTCTTTCTGCTAGTGGGCTATACTCTACTGAAGAGCGGCTAATCATAAAATGCCGGATATAGCATCTTCTCTAGATCTGTGTGGGTTTTGTTTGCAGGTTTATGAACCTTTCCCTTCAATTTTAATTTGTTTGGGGGGTCCCATCCTTCATGTTGCCCTTTCAGTTCTGGCTGTAAATCATAGAATCTTAGATTATCAGGGTTGGAAGGGACCACAGGAGGTCATCTAGTCCAACCCCCTGCTCAAAGCAGGGCCAATCCCCAATTTTTGCCCCAGATCCCAAATGGCCTCCTCGAGGATTGAACTCACAACCCTGGGTTTAGCAGGCCAATGCTCAAACCACTGAGCTATCCGTCCCCCCCCCCCCCCAAAAAAAAAAACTTGGTTAGATGCCATGAAGTAAGTGGCAATGCCTTAAACATATGTGTGTTGTAAAGGTCACTAGGACCTCTTCCATCCTTATCAAGGGGAGTGCTAACCTTCTCTCCTTTCATACAACATAAATGAACCCAAGCCTGTTTTTAGATGAGCTTCAGGTGGTCCAGTGATTAGGGCATTGGCTTAGGACCCAGGTTCAGCTCCCTGCTCTGCCACAGACTTCCTGTGGGGAAAGCAAGTCACTTATCTGCTCTGTGCCTCAGTTTCCCCATCTGTGAAATGGGGATGATAATGCTTTGCTACCTCCTAAGGGTGTTGTGAGGCTAAAGAATATTAATGATTGTGAAGTGCTTTGAGGTTTACTGATGAAGCGCACACTGTAAGAAATAGTCATTATTATTCCAGAGTCTTGGCCAGGCTTCTCTGTTTCAAATGATATAACAGAGGAAATGCAGATTTTGCAACAAAAGCTTTGCATGGCTCTGCATAATCATGGTCTCCGTGATGAATTGAACCTACAGTTTCCAGCACAAGAAGCACAAGCCTTCCACTTGAGCTTCAAAACAGGCTCCTTAGCTCGGAATAAATAACAGACTCTTATGGCAGCTATGTCACCTGTCCAACAGGTTATGATATCCAAGATCCTTAGCAAAGCTCTACACCTGCTGCCCTGGGGCTGCTCTCCCCAGCACTGACGGAGAGGCAGAGAAGCTAAGTTGTACAGTGCCCCGGACTCCTTCCATTGCCAGCATGCCTTGCTCAAAGGAAATGAATGGCTTGCTTGCCCCTGTCAATCAACTGAAAAAGCCTTCTTCACACCACCCTGTAAGCAGAAAGGACGGTCCAGTGGCCATGGCACTAGCTTGGGACTTGAAAGAGCTTGGTTCGAGTCCCTGCTCTAGCACAGACTGCCTGTGTGACATTGGGTAAGTCACTTAGCCTACATGGGCCTCAGTTTCCCCATCTGTAAAATGGGAACAATGGACTTCACAGGGTGCTGTGAGGATAAGTATATTAAAAAGATTGTGTGGTGCTCAATTACTGTGGTGATAGAGGCCAGATAAATACTATTGATTGATTTATCTCCAAGGTAGGAACCAATTCCCCAGACAGGGCCCACTTGTTTCTGTATAGAAAAGCCAGGTAATGTTGTCCTGGATTTGAGGGGAGTTTATACCTCAGCAACTTGTCAGCAAGTTAAGGAAGTATGGGCTGGATGAATGCACTATAAGGTGGGTAGAAAGCTGGCTAGATTGTCGGGCTCAACGGGTAGTGATCAATGGCTCCATGTCTAGTTGGCAGCCGGTATCAAGTGGAGTGCCCCAAGGGTTGGTCCTGGGGCCGGTTTTGTTCAATATCTTCATAAATGATCTGGAGGATGGTGTGGATTGCACTCTCAGCAAATTTGCGGATGATACTAAACTGGGAGGAGTGGTAAATACGCTGGAGGGGAGGGATAGGATACAGAAGGACCTAGACAAATTGGAGGATTGGGCCAAAAGAAATCTGATGAGGTTCAATAAGGATAAGTGCAGGGTCCTGCACTTAGGACGGAAGAACCCAATGCACAGCTACAGACTAGGGACCGAATGGCTAGGCAGCAGTTCTGAGGAAAAGGACCTAGGGGTGACAGTGGACGAGAAGCTGGATATGAGTCAGCAGTGTGCCCTTGTTGCCAAGAAGGCCAATGGCATTTTGGGATGTATAAGTAGGGGCATAGCGAGCAGATTGTGGGACGTGATCATTCCCCTCTATTCGACATTGGTGAGGCCTCATCTGGAGTACTGTGTCCAGTTTTGGGCCCCACACTACAAGAAGGATGTGGATAAATTGGAGAGAGTCCAGCGAAGGGCAACAAAAATGATTAGGGGTCTGGAACACATGACTTATGAGGAGAGGCTGAGGGAGCTGGGATTGCTTAGCCTGCAAAGAGAAGAATGAGGGGGGATTTGATAGCTGCTTTCAACTACCTGAAAGGGGGTTCCAAAGAGGATGGCTCTAGACTGTTCTCAATGGTAGCAGATGACAGAACGAGCAGTAATGGTCTCAAGTTGCAGTGGGGGAGGTTTAGATTGGATATTAGGAAAAACTTTTTCACTAAGAGGGTGGTGAAACACTGGAATGCGTTACCTAGGGAGGTGGTAGAATCTCCTTCCTTAGAGGTTTTTAAGGTCAGGCTTGACAAAGCCCTGGCTGGGATGATTTAACTGGGAATTGGTCCTGCTTCGAGCAGGGGGTTGGACTAGATGACCTTCTGGGGTCCCTTCCAACCCTGATATTCTATGATTCTATGATTCTATACCCTAGCATGTGATCAAGCTAATTGCAACCATATTATGTGCATTCAGCCACCCTGAATTAATGAAATAGAATACCACATAGGGTTAATTTGGAGACAGGCTTTCAGAACCAAGGTCAAAACTAACTACAGTTTCTGCTCATCAGAGTGGGAGGAGGGGACAAACCAGTAAACAACTGAGACTAAAAACCTTGGTGGGTTGGGACATCTTGAGTCTAGATGCCTCTGATATTAGAAGTTTATTAAAAGTTAGAAAAGTGATGATCCAGTCGGGGTCATTATGACCTATGCGTTTTGTAGAAGTTAGTTCTAAAAGATTAGCTAACTGAGTGTACTTTGGAGCAGTCCTGTGAAGTCATCTTGAGAGACGTTTTTCCTGACACCCTTTCTCCCCAGTAAGTGGGCAACTGGCCACTGCGAACCTGCAGTTAATTATTCAATACCCTTCCAGATCTTAGGTAAATATCTGGGAGGTTCTAAACCTATTGCTTATGTCTGTGTGTGCTTAAACCTAATACACTGCAGTTTTAGACAGAGCACGCTTACTGGCATGAATCTTATCAGACGGAAGTGCTGTGTTCCTGTGGATTTCTTCCATACACCTCCTGGAGTGAACTAGTTAAGTTGCCCCTGTTGGGGGTTCTGAAAACCCCGGGTAACAGTAATACTGGGGCAAAAGAGGAGCCCTGCCTGTTGCCTTCTCTCAGGGACAAAGTCTAAGGGCCCTAAGAGGAACTGAAGAGAATAAGTCCAGCTTCCTAAGGCACCTGCATAGGGCCATTTGCTCTGTCACAATCTGACCACTAGAGGGAGACAGGAACACATGCACTAAGCCAGTGATTGGCATCTAGGCTTACCCAATGTTCATGTACAAGCAGACAGGACGTTTCATTGGTGGAGTGCAGAAGAGGAGGAGTCAGGAGATTGGGTTCTAGGGAGAGCAGGAAGCTGGGGGTGTGTTTGTGGGGGTGTTGGGGAGCAGGGTCACCAGCTAAAAAGGAAGCAAAGAGTGTGTGAGGTGAAATCCCCAGATAGATTTTTGCATGGCTGTTATAAATCATACCATGCATATCTGTGGTTCACTTGGTCTGAGGATCTCAAAGCACCATACAGCCTTAGGCCAACAGCACTATTCAAACAGGGGTTCGGTTGGTTGCTTCTGTTTGCTCTTCCTCTGTTGCATGCCTGGGGCATGCCGCCCTCTCTCATGTGTCAAAGCCAGACGTCTATTGTATCGATCTTGGTCTTCACAACTTTTCCTGATCACTGTGTGAGCTGGGGACACCTCAGCACCTACCCTTGTGCGGTGTGTTGGGGACACTGGAGGCACACAATCATGGAACCCATGGGGTTCCCTGACTTGTCCAGTCCACTCCCATTTGTAGACTTCGATGCCAGCCGAGGCATGGCTGGCGTGGAAGCCCCTTTGGTGGCATGCAGGAAGGGCAGACTCTGTGCAATTGCACAGCAGCCATGGCATGGGGCTGATGTGGCCCAAAGAGCTTAGAACTAGCCCTCTGACCTTGAGTGAAATTCATGCTAAGGGTTTGGGTGGGGGATAATTGGTGTCCAGGGTCCTGTCTGAGTCCTATGTACCAGGGTTGAATTTCACCTTTTCAATTCTAGGTGAAATTATGGAGTGTCTTATTTTAGCCTCATGGCTGCAAGAGCCTTTGTAGTTATTCTGGTTAAAATCACATCCTCTGCTGGGCAAAGCCCTCCATGTGAAGGTGGAGGAAGAGAAGCCATGTACCTCCAAGGTTGGGAAGATCGTGGCCACTGCTCCCAAGAGAAAACGAAGGGCGGTGGTGGTCAGAAACTCCCTTCTAAGGGGCTGAGGCATCTATCTGATGGCTTAATCTGGTGTCCTTGGAGGTGTGGTGCCTGCCAGGGTCCCATATCTCAGACATTACGGAAGAATTTCTGAGGATTATCCGGCCCTCTGGCAACTACCTCATGCTGCTCATTCAAGCAGGCATGAATGATACTGTGAGGTCTGAACCTGAGCAAATCAGAAGTGACTACAGATCTCTTGGAGTGAGGGTGAGGGAGTTGAGGGCACTGGTGGTGTTCTCATTGATTCTTCCAGGCAATGGTAGGTGCCCAGGCATAGAAAGACATGCTGGAGATGAATGCATTGCTGTGTGGATGGTGTCACCCGGAGGGCTTTGGTTTCTTCGACCATAGAATCATAGATTTATAGAATCATAGGACTGGAAGGGACCTTGGGAGGTCATCTAGTCCAATCTTCTGCACTCAAGGTAGGACCAAGTATTATAGACCATCCCTGACAGGTGTTTGTCTAACCTGCTCTTCAAAATCTCCAGTGATTGGACATTCCACAACCTCCCTCCGCAATGTATTCAAGTGCTTAATCACTCTGACAGTTAGGAAGTTTTTCCTAATGTCCAACCTAAATTGCCCTTGCAGCAATTTAAGCCCATTGCTTCTTGTCCTATGATCAGAAATTAAGGAGAATAATTTTCTCCTTCCTCCTTGTAACAACCTTTTATGTACTTGAAAACTGTTCTCACGTCCCCCACTCAGTCTTCTCTTCTCCAGACTGAACAAACCGAGTTTTTCAATCTTCTCTCATAGGTCCTGTTTTCTAGACCTTTCATCATTTTTGTTGCTTGTCTCTGTACTTTCTGCTATTTGTCCACATCTTTCATGAAATGTGGCATTTGTGTCTAATTCTGGGCACCACACTTTGGGAAAGATGTGAACAAATAGGAGAAAGTCTGGAGGAAACCAACAAAGATGATCAAAGGTCTAGAAAACCTGACCTGCTGGGAAAGATTGAAAAAACCTGGGTTTGTTTAGTCTGGAGAAAAGAAGACAGAGGGGGAACATGGTAACTGTCTTCAAGTACATAAAGGGATGCTACAAAGAGGAAGGTGATAAATTGTTCTGCTTATCCATTGAGGACAGAGCAAGAATAATGGGCTTATATTGCAGCAAGGGAGATTTAGGTTAGAAATTAGGAAAAGCTTCCTAACTGTAAGGGTAGTTAAGCACAGGAATACATTATGGAGGGAGTTTGTGGAATCTCCATCATTGGTGGCTTTTAAGAATAAGTTAGACAAACACCTGTCAGGGATGATGTCGAATAATATTTTGTCCGGCTTCGGGGCAGGGGAGTGAACAAAATGACCTATCAAGGTCTCTTCCAGTCCTGCATTTCTATGGTTCTAGTTCAGAACTTCTCGCTCTTCAGGAACTTGAAGCAAATGGCATTACTGCAAAGCAAACTTACCATTATCTGTGCAAGAAAGCAGAGCAGATAGGTGCCCAGCGATACAGGCAGCTCTGTTAATTACAAACAAACAAATCTCCTAAATTCAAGGCAAGGAGTTTCTTTACTCCCAAAACCTTTTCATTTCCTCTGTCTCCGGGATACCCTGGCAATCTGATTTTGCTTGTAATCAGACGCATTTATTGACAACCCTGTTATATTAGGTGGGGTCCTTACTGCATTGTTCTTCACTTTAATTTCCCTGTATTCATTAAACTGCTGTAATCTGGCACCTCCCCCCACTCCCGACACTATTACTGATTTTTAACATGGCTGCCTTTATTGCTCCCCACAAATCCTCACTCGCCGGTGAGAACTTTACTTCTCCTTGGTGACTGGGCCCCTCTCCCGTCCCTTGGTGTTCTCATAAACCATTTCCCCCAATCTCTGCTCGGTCCTTTACAGTGATAAAATCTGATCCTCACCTGGATTTGGATCTGAACTTCAGGGCTGGCCCTTTATTTCGACAGGGAGATGAACAAACCCATGGATCTGAAGACCCTGTGGAAATTTCAGTCTGAATCCAGATCTCGGCCTTGCGGTTCAGGCTTATCGCTACAAGCAAGCCATTCCATACTGTACCCGTAGGCATAACACTTTAGAGAGGGAGGCTAGTTAGGGCACTAGCCTAGGCCTTCCAGAAACCGGCTTTGCCAAAGATTTTCTGTGTGACCTTGGACACATCACTTAACCTCAGCACCCCCTTTGTAATATGGGTCTAATAGCACTTCCCTACCTCACAGAGGCATTGTCAGGATAAATATGATAAAGACTGTGAGGCGCTCTGACACTCTGGTAACAAGGGCCGGATAAGCACTGCTGCATGACCTCATGGTGTCCTTGTGGCTGGATTAACACAAGCAGGCAGAGTCCCTGGACAAAGCTCAGTAAACAAGATAACATGTATTTTATTACAGGAAGAGGGGGGCAGAGGCAGCTCCCCTCCTGCTGCTGATTCCAAAAATACTTTTGTTTTCCCTGGCCAGGAAACACCTCACCCGCACCCTAATGTCAGGGTTACTTCCTGAGTCAGGGGTCTCTCTGTGCCTTGGAGGAGACATGGTCTTCAGGGGCTATCTGTAGCTGTTCATAAGAATCATAGAAGATTAGGGTTTGGAAGAGACCTCAGTAGGTCACCTAGTCCAATCCCCTGCTCAGAGTAGGACCAACACCAACTAAATCGTCCCAGCCAGGGCTTTGTCAAGCTGGGGCTTAAAAACCTCTAAGGAAGGAGATTCCACCATCTCCCTAGGTAACGCATTCCAGTGCTTCACCACCCTCCTAGTGAAATAGTGTTTCCTAATATCCAGCTTAGACCTCCCCCACTGCAACTTGAGATCATTGCTCCTTGTTCTGTCCTCTGTCACCACTGAGGACAGCTGAGCTCCATCCTCTTTGGAACCCCCCTTCAGGTACTTGAAGGCGGCTACCAAATCCCCCCTCACTCTTCTCTTCTGAAGACTAAACAAGCCCAGTTCCTCAGCCTCTCCTCATAAGTCATGTGCCCCAACCCCCTCCGCTGGAGTCCCTCCAATTTGTCCACATCCTCTCTGTAGTGGGGGGCCCAAAACTAGGCACAATACTCCAGATGTGGCTTCACCAGTGCCAAATAGAGGGGAATAATCACATCCCTCAATCTGCTGGCAATGCTCCTACTGATGCAGCACTATATGCCGTTAGCCTTCTTGGCAACAAGGGCACACTGCTGACTCATATCCAGCTTCTCAACCACTGTAATCCCCAGGCTCTTTTCTGCAGACCTGCTGCTTAGCCAGTCGGTCCCCAGCCTGTAGCAGTGCATTGGATTCTTCCTTCCTAAGTGCAGGACTCTGCACTTGTCCTTGTTGAACCTCATCAGATTTCTTTTGGCCCAATCCTCCAATTTGTCTAGGTCACTCTGGACCCTATCCATACCCTTCAGCATATCTTCCTCTCCCCACAGCTTAATGTCATCCATGAACTTGCTGAGGGTGCAATCTATCCCATCGCCCAGATCATTAATAAAGATGTTTAACAAAACCGGCCCTAGGATTGACACCTGGGGTACTCCACTTGATACCAGCTGCCAACTAGACATCGAGCCATTGATCGCTGCACATTGAGCCTGACAATTTAGCCAGTTTTCTATCCACCTTATCGTCCATTCATCCAATCCATACTTTTTTAACTTGCAGGCAAGAATACTGTGGGAGACCGCATCAAAAGCTTTGCTAAAGTCAAGATATATCACATCCACTGCTTTCCCCATATCCACAGAGCCAATTATCTCATCATAGAAGGCAATCAGGTTGGTCAGGCATGTCTTGCCCTTGGTGAATCCATGTTGACTGTTCCTGATCACCTTCCTCTCCTCCAAGTGCTTCAAAATGGTTTCCTTGATGACCTGCTCCATGATTTTTCCATGGACCGAGCTGAGGCTGACCATGTAACTCTGATACAGTATCACAGATAGTCTCTTTTACCTGGAACCCAGTTTCCATTTTGTGGGTGCAAAACGTTTGCGTCCCTGTTGTTGCTCTGAGAATTCATTTCCAGTCAGTGGCCATCTCTAGCTACGTCGCTCGGGTCCACAGTCAGACGGTTATATGGGTTAATACTCAGATTCTCACATCCACTTCAGTACATTGTTGGTGCAAAATGAAGCATTCGGAAATGAATTGCAGGTTCCAAAACCAGGAAGTCACCCTTGTGCAAAT